CAACAGGTAGTAAAAAGGCGATTTGTCTGAGTCATTTACCCTTTCAGTATTTCTAGTTTGTAAACTGAAGGGACTGTGCAACAGAAACTCAGAAGTCTCCTTCAAATCTAGTACAAGATACAATTAAGTCTGTGTTTTTAAAATATATACCATCACAGTTTCTGAAAGACTAATTGTGTCTTTAGATTTTACATGTCTAATGAATGTCACAAATTCATCAAGTCCCAAACTAACTCCTGTTTTCTTTACCCATACCCTAAATTTACTCCTCCCCTGGTCTTCATCTTAGTAGATGACAACTCCTTCCTATCCCTCAGGCTGAAGTCATGGAAATCATCCTTGACTTTCTTCTCTATTTCACAACAAATCCATCAACGAATCCTATGGATTACTGTAATAATGTCTATCTAGTGTCCTCTGTTTTTGTCCTTCCTCCCCCTCACTCATACCCCAAATGTATTTTCCACAGAGCAGACAGAATGGTCCTTTTAAAAGTTGTATTATGTCATTCTTCTTAAACCCTGCCAATCGCTTCCCCCTTCCCACAAAAGGAAAGACAAAGTTCTTCAAATGGCTTATAAATCCTATGTGATTTGGCCTAACTACTTTGATCTTACCTCCTACTATGCACCCGTCTTACAACACTCCAGCCATACTGATTTCCTTGCAGTTCCTCCAACACATCTGGGATGATCTCGCCTCAGGACCTTTGCATTTGGTTCCTCTCATAAAATGGCCTATCTCCAGGCATTCCCATGAGATAGACTCTGCTCAAATGTCATCTTATCAGAGAGGCCTTCCATTACACTCTATATAAAAAGCAACTCCTCCCTCCTCTCATCCACTCTCTCATCCTGCCCTAAAACTTCCTTTCTCTCTCACTCAGCTTTAGTTTTCTCCAAAGCAACTTTCACAACCTTATCTGTATGTTTATTATGTCTTCCTGCCACCCGAACGTAAGCTCCATGAGAGCAGAGCCTTGCCTGTGTCATTGCTGGACACCCACTGCCTACAACAGTGACTGGCACCCAGTAGCCCACATCAAACATTTGCTGGATAGAAAACCACAGAACAGAAAATTTAATGGAAAGACAATTATAGGGGCAGCACTGAAAACTCAAAAGGCTGGGTTTGAACCTCAATTCTGACTCCACAAAAATTTTCCCAACAACTGCCCTATTCTGCTTACACCCCTCTCATAGCCACCCCCGTGCTGAAGGAGGTAGTAGTCGAGGTAGAGGTTAGAGGTGAGACACAAAATGTGGCAGGGAAGGCAAAAGTAAAAGTGTAGCCCAACCCACAGCTGGCCATATTTGATCTTTGGTTGTCTGCCCTCTTAAGGTAGGGGAAGGAGGGTAGCCAAGTAAATCCCACAGGATGTCATTAAACAACATCGCAACAGAGAGTTTGTTGGGGCACCTGGGTGGCTCAGTAGTTAAAGCATCTGCCTTTGGCTCAGGTCATGATCCCAGGGTCCTGGGATCGAGTGGCAAGCCTGCTTCTCCCTCTGCCACTCCCACTGCTTGTGTTCCCTCTCTCATTCTGTCTCTCTCTGTCAAATAAGTAAATAATCTTAAAAAAAAAAAAAAAAAGTTTGTCATAAAATAAAAAAGAGCTTGCTGGCTCAGCCAATAAAACACCGAAGACTCTTAATCTTGGCAAAGTACATTCATGCTAGACACTGGGAACAATCTTTAGTTTGGAAAGAAGCCAAGGTATAATGGTTAAGATGCCAGACTTTAGAGACATACTGGTTGACTTCAAATCCAGGCTCTGCCACTCACTACATGGCCTTGGACAAATTACCTCATCAATCTGGGTCTGCTAAATGGGCATAATAATGTCAATCTCAGAGGGATGTGGAAGGATTAAATGAGATAAATGTGAAGTGATCAGCCTAAAACTGAACAATGTCAAAGGGCTCTATAAAAAAGTTATTGTTACAGTTCTAAAAATTATGCTTCATCCTCAGCGCAGTGCAGACCAAAGGGAGACCAATATTACTAATAGAAGGAAAATGTATTCTTTTTATGATCTTTTGACATAGATCTCATTCTATAAGCATATTAGCTCTCTAAACTATACCATGTGACAAGAGACCAAAACTGTCTGTAAACCTTGGTATATTTTATTGCAAAGCTCCCCCTGCCTTGTGCTTCCCAACACCTCTGAGAAGTCCTAACCACAGATAAACACAGAAAGAGAAGTACCGAAATAGCCAGAAAGTCCAAGTGAACGAGTTAAAATGGGAAAAGAGTAATGATACAATGTTATACTTCCGAGAAAAAAAACATCTGCCTTATAAGCTAAAGTATTTAGGCAACAGCAAAAATATGACAAAAGGTATCCCAATGTATATTCTGATCCATATGAATCAAACTGGTGTCTTCTGGAAACCATTTTAGAATATACAACTGAAATATATGTTAAAATTACTATCAGGAAAAATCTCAGACAATAGAATTTTATTTTTTAAAATATATTCATCCTCCAACTCTAAATGGCTTTATGTAAAACACTGGTCTTTGTGATTCACAAAAAGTATGTGTCAATTCCTGAAAGCAAAGTGAAATGATAGGAGAAACTTTCAATGCTATTACAGCCATGAGTATGAACCCCAATTCAACAATGTCTTTATTAATTTCTCTTCATTTCATCTTTGTGAAAAAGGGGAGGGGAAAGTAAGAGGAGAGAAAACTAGGCATGACTACCTTGCTCTGTAGCATCTAGCTTAGGGCCAGGAATAAAATACAAGTATTTGTTAACTGCTCAAAAATATTAAAATCCAAATAGGAAAACAAATTTCCTAACATATACCTGGCATAAATATTGGGGGAACATAACACTGATGCACTATATATTATAGTATAATCTAGTGTTTCCATAAGCAGGTTCTGAAACAATCTGCCTTGTTTTGAAATCTCCCTTAATTTATCAGCTGGGTGACTTGGGCAAGTTACTCTTCTGCACCTCGATTTCCTCATCTCTAAAATGGGGAAATGGTATCTTCTTCATAGGGTTGCTGTGATGGTTAAATAAGATACATGAGGTGCTTAGAAAAATATCTCACTTATAATGTACATAATAAATGCCAGCTGTCATTATAGAACAGAAATTAGTGGCTTAATTGAAGAAATTTTCATTGAGAGATAGTTAAGCAGAGTTCCAAATTTATGTGCAAAGTTATTCATATCAACTGCTAAAGTTGTATGCTTAGATTCAAGCATTCAATGAACAGTGATGTTACTGAATACAGTTCTGGGGATTACATAGGCAGCTTCCTCATTCCCCCTCCTATACAACTAACCATTCCCCACTCTTGCTGGAGCCCAGGCATCAGTTCATCATAAAATTAGATCCCTTCCATGAATGAAATTCTTAATGCTTAAAAACAGATAAAAAGCAAAAAAAAAATGTGTAAGTTTAGCAAACCAACCACTAGTACACAAGTATAGTAGAATGCTTTTAAAGTAAGTAAAACTCTAAAATGCACAATAGTGAATCAAGGTGGACTGTGGGTCAGGATGGAATGAGAGAAGAAAAATGGGCAACAGGAGGAATAGAAGACTTCAGAGACCTATGAAAATTTAAATCCGGAATATTCTTCCTTTCTCTTTGCTATAATTGTAAGAGCTTTTCTCACATATAACATATAACATTTTGCAATATTTACAACACTCAGATTTTTGTAAATTCATTTTCCAAAACTCTTGTGAGGCTCCATTAATTTGTCACTTAAAACCAATTCAGAATTAAAAAGAAACACAAAATAAAGACCACATTTCTGTTATTTGTGGGTAATTTTCCCCCCACTACTATCAAAAGGCCACACATCTGGCAGTTGTTTTTTCAGAGCCAATGATAGATACAGACCAGCCACCTTCTCTTCCCATCATGCCTCCCCCTAGTTATAAAAAAAAGAAAAGAGAAGAAAAGTCTGCCAGGGTTCCAAATGGTAGGTTTTCTCCCCAGGCCAATTGACACTTGGGGAGACCCCCCACCTTCTCAGCTTATTAGCACTTCACTGTAGAAAAAGAGCAAATCTACACTAGTGATTGTTTAAAAAGAACTGTTTCTTAAAGCCAGGCATTTCTTTATAATCCGCCCCAAACCCCTCTCAAATATTCTATATCAAAGGTGTGTCCCCAACAGAGTCCAGCTCCTCTCTTCTTTAACACCCTTTGGAGGCCTCCCGAGAAATCACACCTTTGGTCAGCAATTCCATGAATCCTGTCTAGTCAAGCCAACACCTCAGCTGAGTCTTCAAGTCAGGTGTTAAAAACGAGCTTAATGGGGGCCAGGTGGTATGCCCACTCGCTCTCAAGTTTTTTGAAAAAAAGTAGTGATTTAAGACGTTTACAATGTACTAATTACTAATTAAATCCCTTAAAGGGCTGTGCACAGGGAAAACCTCCAGTTTAATGCCCCCATTTTTTTGAAAAGGAGGAGGGAAAATCCAAAATTACATATTTAAATTCCTCCACACGCTAAAAATCCTGTCAATGATGAATTTTAAAGAAATACCTACTATGCATTGTATTATTTATATATAATTGCGTAGAAAAAAGGTAGCACACAGACTGCAAAATAGTGTTAATACAAATATATGATACATAGATCCCCTCTCAAAAAAAAAAAAAAAACCCAAAAAATAAAAAATCACCACACCCTCTGGGTGGCTTCCCAGTCTCGCCGGGACCAAAAAGCGTCACGCTGTCCCGCGGCCCACAGGGGTCCCAGCGGAGGCCCAGACCTTCAACGCAGAGAAGGCTACGTCGCCGGCGCCCCAGGGCAGGCGGGCGCTGCGGGCGCTCCGGGTCCCCGGGGCTCCCCCTCCCCCGGGCCCGCCCAGTCCTGCCCTGCCCCGCAGTCCCGCAGGCCGCAGCCCGGCCTCTCCGCGACCCCGGCGCCGCCCGCGGGAACCGAGCAGGGACCGCGCGGGGGTTCGGCCCGGGTGGGGAAGGGCGGGGCTGCCCAACCCGCTGGGGCCCCAGACTCACCATGGCCGAAGAGCTGCGAGCGCGCCCACAGCCCGAAGTCACAAGCCGCCGGCAACGCCCGTTGTCCTGGTGACGCCAGCTGGGCGCCCCGCCCCGTTCCCAAGGTGGGCTCGGAGACGGCCATTGGCGGCTGTCGAGCACGTGACGTGCAGGGCGGTGCCGTTGGACCGCCCCCACGCCCCCCTCCGACCCTTGCCTCTGCTCCTGGGCGGGGCCTCAAGACCTCGTACACTCTGCATCTGGACCGTCATCAGCCTGATCACCTTAACATCCCTCACCTGACAGATAACCCCCGCCGCAGGCTGCCCAGCTGGAAGAGACCTTTGTGGATTTACTTTAAGGAACAGATTACACAGGTAATACGTGATTATTAAAGACATTTTAAACTAATGATAACAAGAATTAGAAAGAATAAAACCACACTAAATCCCAGCACAGGTAACTACAGCTTATATCCTAGTTTATCGGCTTCCAGTGAAATGTACATTATAATATATTGTATTCTTTAAAGTGAAAGCAAACCGTCCACACTTTTATAACCTACTTCTTTTAAAAATTATCTTTGCATGCCAATTCATGGAATAGCATTGTGTGTGTATGCTCTAATTTATTAAATCAATTCTCAATTTGTTGGATGTGTTTAATATGGTTGAAGGGAACATTAGATATCCGCAAATCCGGCATATTAAAATCTATGGAGACATGTTCAACAGCCAATCTGACACCTCCCTTTGAATGTCTAACAGGTATCTGAAACTTAATATAGCCCAAATAAGACTGTTGTTGTTGTTCATGTTCACTTGGCCAGCATATAGTACATCATAAGTTTGTGATATAGTGTTCAATGATTCATTAGTTGCATATAACACCCAGTGCTTATCATGTGCCCTCCTTAATACCCATCACTGGGTTATCCATCCCCCCACCTCCCTCCCTTCTGTAACCCTCTGTGTTTTCCCCAGAGTCCAGACTTTGTCATGGTTTCCTCTGATTTCTTCCCATTCAGTTTTCCCTCACTTCCCCTGTGGTCCTTCAAGCTATTCGTTATGTTCCACATATGAGTGGAACCGTATGATAATTGACTTTTTCTGCTTTACTTAGTTCACTTAGTACAATCCCCTCCAGTTCCATCCCTGTGGATGCAAATGGTAGGTATTCATACTTTCTGATGGCTGAGTCATCTACCACTGTATATATGAATCACATCTTCTTTATCCATTCATCTGTTGAAGGGCATCTCAGCTCCTTGATTCAAATGTCATACTCACTCTCCAGTCTTCTTCATCCCAGCAAAAGTTTCCTCTTTCTCCTTGGCTGTTCAGGAAAAAAAAACCCTAGGAATCATCCTTGATTTTCTCTTTCCCTCATACCTCATGTTCTGGACTCTATCTTTAAATAAATCCTGAGTCTATCCATTTGTCACGATCTCCACCTCACAGTCACCATCATCTCTTGCCTAAGTTAGTCTCCATGCCACCTGTCTTCTCTCCTACAGTCTGCAGCATTTCAGTGGCTTCCCATAGCACTTAGGAAAAAGATCCAAACTCCCCCTGATGGAGATCTTGCCTCCTGCACTAACTTCATCTCCTACCACTCTTCCCTCATCCAATCCACACTAAACATACTTTATTTCCTGAGGTTCCTCAAACATGTCAGACACTTTCCTACTTAAGAGCCTCAGCAACAAACTCCTTTGTTTTTTTAGAATATTATTCCTCTAGAACTTCACACTGCCCATTTCCTGGTTTGAAACAGGTCACTTATCTCCTCAAACGTCATCTTCACCGAAGCCTTCACTGACCATTCAATCTGAAATATCTCACCCTGGTTACTCTTTCTCACCACAGTCTTTATAACCTCTCTTATATCTGTCCTGTTTTCAAATATCTAATGCCCCTTAAAATTATCTTTCACAATTTTTGGTATATTAATTATAGCCTGTCTCTTCACTCTGGAATGCAAGATGTCTATGTTGTTCCCTCTCTGTGTTCCTCCTGTTTAGAATAGTTTCTGCTTATAGTGGTTATTCAATATTGATGATTGATTGAAAGAACAAACATATATTCTCAGACTGGATGGTCAGTTTGAAGATACAAGTAAGAATATGACCTGTCAGGGCACCTGGGTGGCTCAGTCATTGGGCATCTGCCTTTGGCTCAGGTCATGATCCCAGGGTCCTGGGATTGGGGCCCACATTGGGCTCCCTGCTTCACAGGAGGCCTGCTTCTCCCTCTCCCACTACCCCTGCTGTGTTCCCTTTCTCTGTGTGTCTCTCTTTGTCAAATAAATAAATAAAATACTTTAAAAAAAAAGAATATGATCTGTCAAAGTAGGGAGTGTGATAGAAGAAAAACTGTAATTTTATTTTACTTTTTAAAAAGATTTTATTTATTTATTTGTCAGAGAGATAGAGAAAGTACAGGCAGGCAGAGTGGCAGGCAGAGGCAGAGGGAGAAGCAGGCTCCCTGCAGAGCAAGGAGCCTGATGTGGGTCTCGATCCCAGGACGTTGGGATCATGACCTGAGCCAAAGGCAGCCGCTTAACTGACTGAGCCACCCAGGCATCCCGAAAAACTGTAATTTTAAATTTTATCTATTATAATATGAAATATACATATAAGTAGTAAAATATAAATGTACAGTTTTTATAAAGTGAACACCTATGTAAACACCATCTAGTTCAAGAAATAGAACATTGCCAAAAGCCTTCAAGAGTTCATGTGTCCTTTCCCAATAGTAACCCCCATCCAATGACCACTATCTTAATATTTATGAAAAACATTTTCTTGCTCTTCTTTATATAGTTTTTATAGCTCATTAATTTTAATTTCTATAAGGCATTGCATTGAATGTATGTACAAGAATATATCCTTTCAACTGTTGGGCATTTGGGTTGCTTGCATCACTTCCTGTTTAGGACTATTATAAAACAATGCAGTTGTGAGCATTTTCCCTGGGCCTATGAGTACTCATTTCTCTAGATGAGGGTTTCTTGGCAATTTTGATATTTAGGGATAGATAATTTTTTGTTGCAGATGGTGGGGGAACAGGGTGAGAGGGAACTATCCTATGAATTATTGTAGGAGGTTTAGCAGCCTCCATGGTTTTACCCACCACATGTTAGTGGCGTGGCCTCAGTTGTGAAAACCAAAAATGTCTCCAGGCATTTCTGTATGTTACTGGAGAAGCAAAATTACCCCAGTTGAGAATAACTGATCTAGGGTAAATAACAAGAAATAGAATTTCTGCTTTGTATATCTTTAGATTTACCACATAGTACCAAACTGTTTTCCAAAGTACTTGCAAGACAAGTGACATGGAATTAGTACAGTAGAGAGCTCCAAGAATGGGTCCCTTGCAAGAACTGGTCTTCCCAGCAAGAATTCTGCTAGCAGGGGTGCTGGGGTGACTCAGTTAACCAGGTGTCTGCCTTTGGGTCAGGTCATGATCCCGGGGTCCTGGGACTGAGCCCTGCATTAGGCTCAGTAAATAAAAAATAAAATAATATAAAATAAAAAATAAATTTTTATTTATTTATTTGACAGATGGACACAGTGAAAGAGGGAACACAAGCAGGGAAACTGGGAGAGGGAGAAGCAGGCTTCCCACTGAGCAGGGAGCCTGATGTGGGGTGTGATCCCAGAACCACGGGATCATGACCTGAGCCAAAGGCAAGCGGTTAATGACTAAGCCACCCAGGCGCCCAGGATAGCTGTCCTTTTTTCTCTCATTGTGTGTGCTTTTGGGGTCATACTTTAAGAATCTTTTGCCAAATCCAAGGTCATGAAGATTTATCTATAGGTTTTCTTCTAATAGCTTTTAGGTTTTATATTTAGATCTTTGACCTATGTTAATTTTTTACATGATGTGAGGTAAGGTTCCAACTTCATTCTTTAGCATGGTGATATCCAGTTATCCCAGCACCATTTCTTGAAAACACTTTTATCTTCTCCATTGAATGATCTTGGCACCCCAGTGAAAATCAACAGACCGTAGATGTGTAGGTTTATTTCTGGACTCTCAGTGTTATTCCATTAACAACATAGCCTTAAATTATATAACATAAAAATTGACAACTGTGACTAAGATGCACATTTTTTCAAAAACAAAAATGTTTCCTTAATCAGGGAGAGTTATAAAGTCTAAACACTATGAACCTGAGGAGCATTAGACACATAAATTAAAATATAATTAGTACCTCCAGAGTTGTGCAGCATGATATCCTTGCCCAAAATTAATCTTAGCAGGACATCAAGGATGTTGCTTGAAATTCTTTTAAAATATCCTACTGACTATATTCACTGACCATGGTACAATAAAACTAGACAAATGACAAAGCATAACCATAAATTTACAAGCTAAAAGGCAGATTTGAATCAATCTTACTTGAAAGATGAAATAAAAATTGAAATAAAAATATTTAGAACTAAAGAAAATGAAGTAATACTTACAAATACTTGTGGGAATCAGCTAATGGAGCAGAAGAAATTTTATTATTATTAAATCATTAAATAAAAAACAACTGAAACAAATCTGAATAAACTAGAAAAAGTACACAAACCTAAAGTATGTTGAAGAAAAAATTAGTAAAACTGAAGGCTGTTTAAGACAATGAAAAGATAAAGATAAGTCACACATTGGGAGAATATATTACAAAACACCTATCTGATGAAGAACTTGTATCCAAAATACATGAAGAATTTTTAAAATTCAACAATAAGAAAACAGCCCAATTAAAAAATGTGCAAAAGATCTGAACAGACACTTCACCAAAGAAGATATACAGATGACAAATAAGAATATAAAAAGATGCTGAACATCATATGTCATACAGGAATTGCAAATTAACATTAACAGTGAGATACCACTATATACCTATTAGAATAATAAAAGGTGAATTAAGCTGTAGAGCAACAGGAACTGTTGGGAATGCAAAATGATAAAGCCACTTTGAAGACAGGTTGGCAGTTTCTTATAAAATTAAACATACTCTTACTGTATGACTCAGCAGTTCTACTCTTTGGTATTTACTAAAATGAGTCAAAAACTTATGTCTACACAAAAACCTGCATATGAAGCTT